CATTTTGAATTGTTTCCCCACACACCGTACTCCCCAGATTTGGACCCCAGCGACTACTGGCTCTTTGCAGATATGAAAAAAATGCTCCAGGGAAAGAAATTTGGCTCAAATGAAGAAGTGATTGCGGAAACTGAAGCTTATTTTGGGGGCAAAGACAAATCGTTTAATATAAAGGGAATTGAAAAGTTAGAGGAGCGTTGGAATCAATGTATCACACTGGAAGGAACGTATATTGATGATTAAAGTGGAATTTCTAAAAAAAATTTGTTTTTCTTAGTTAGACCGGAGACTTATTAAGTGACGTGTTATTGTGCAGTATGCTCATTTTAAAATTGCACGCTACTCGTTGCCTTTTTCGTCCATGGATAGTCTTATAATATTTATTTGTAGAATGTATAGTGAAATTTGTATGTATGTTTGTATACGTTAACATATTTCCACATTTTACACATGACATATTTCCATGAATCACTTTTTTGTTAATAAGATATTGCATGAGATTATTATAATTATACGTTAAATGCAAAAACTCGTGTAAATGCATTATATGTATTAATACAAAATACACTATTATAAGTCTATCTAACTATCTAACAACTTCATTTTGACGAATCGAGAAAGACTGTCTCAAAATGAAAATTTACAAATACATACAGAACATAAGATATAAACACGAGAAATATGTAAACATTTGAAACAATCTTACTCTTGCTGCGGAGCTCAGTGAGATTCGTGCGGAACCCGGGGGGGGAGGTATGCGCGTACAGACCACGGGCCTTGCCTGGGTGTCAGGGGTGTTCTAGGATGTTCAAACATATAATATATTTAAATGTATGTAATGTCACAAATATTAATTTTATTTAGTAACTTTTAATGTTAATAACTTTTTAATAAACAACGAGCGACGGCTAAAATTTATTGTAGGTTACTCAAGACAATATATGTCAAGATCAATGTGACTTGGGGCTGGGTCCCCTTTTGTCATTATGTACCGGAAATTCTATACACAATAGTTCTATTTACACGCTGTTACACTCTCTCTTTTGTTTTGTTCGCTAGGACGATTCGATTTAAACTAAACTGCTGTTGCCTGATGTTTACCTATTTATACAGTCATGAGTCTAGAATGTTCGAGACATTACGATAAAGACAAAGCAATTTTGAATATCCCGAACAATTTTGATACGGATTTTGCACTCCACATTACTTCTTTTGTAGATCATATTCATCTTCTTATAAATAAAATTCATCTTGTTAATCATTTAAAAATGAAATACTACAATATTAGTTTGTCGTTTTGATTCAGAAGTCTAAACATATAAACTTTAGTACAAGCTCCGGTCGAAGTGGATTAATTAAGTTACGGATCACTAAAATGTGAAAGAACAATTACCAAGCGGAAAGTGGATGCGGTTACATTTTTCTCGAAATGCCTAAGAAGCAAAACAAAGAGTAATATTCATTGACAAATCGGGAGTTATTTAGCATTTTCGATGAACAAACACGTATAAAAAGTTTGTACCCTTCATATCTTCGTACCAAAAATTAACGGACAAAATTTTCCAATTTATGTTTCATAACATTAATAAATATTATTTCCTACGTCCTTAAATCGCTCAGTCAAAGTTTTTTAAGAACGCTGAGATTATAAGAATGTTATACTGCCATTTAATGAGATCTGCTTATAAAAGTATAATTTAGTCTCCATAGTAGATGTTACACTCATATTAATAATATTGAATACGTCCAGTACAAATTTTTAAAAGATGGTGCCAAGCACAGTTGCCCGACATCGTTTAATTCTTAAATGTCCAAATGCAGTACAATAGAAGAGAAATGCTCGGTGCCGTATTCTCTTGTAAAATAACGAAAGATATGATATTTTTGTAAAAAATATGTTATCTTGTCCCTTGATAATTTAATTTTTCTCATTGAATATATCCTCAATTTGCCTAAGAAATTACATTTTAATTCGTACTGAACCACATGACACTAATTGCGGTTAATTCAGTTATATGCATCGAATTGGAAATTGTATTAACTCAGTGACGTGTAAGATTTAAATATTATATTTTATACATATTATGTGTTAAAGTAAGCGAAAAATTCATGCCCAAATAAGGTAAAGTTCTGGCCGTTGACTAGGGTTATAAATCATGCTGGGAAAACCCCAGGGTCATCTATGCAGTCGTGTCTTATTGCTGACCTTTTTGGACAGCTTGACCGTTTTTCGTTCAGTTCGACAAGCGAGTCGGTATAGGCAGGACATACCTGGTACAAAGTCTGCTACACACATTTCTTTTAATATATTAGTTCAGTATTTTTAAACTGTTTGTTTCGTTTTTTTAACAATCCCATCTACGTCATAACCTTAACAGGTTATGGGCCCAGTATAAATAAGTGGCAAAGTTGTTTAAATAAGTGACAGTTCTTAAAGTTTAAAGTGTGTGTGTGGAAAAATGGAAGCTGCAGGTCTTAAAATAGAGAAGCTGCGTGATAAGGATAACTGGCAGCAATGGCGTTTTATTATACGTACATTGTTGGAGGAGGACGATAATATGATTGATGTATGCGAAGGGACACTAGTCCATCCAGAGTTAGGTTCAGCAAATTATGAAGTGAAACTCAAGAATTTTTTGAAGGCAGACAGGGCTGCAAGGAAATTAATCGTCACAACAGTGGAGAAATGCCGGGAAAAACCCAGGGTCATCTATGCAGTTGTATTTTACTGCTGACCTTTTTGGACAGCTTGACTGTTTTCAGTCAGTTCGACAAGCGAGTCGGTATAGGCAGGACATACCTGGTACAAAGTCTGCTACACACATTTCTTTTAATATATTAGTTCAGTATTTTTAAACTGTTTGTTTCGTTTTTTTAACAATCCCATCTACGTCATAACCTTAACAGGTTATGGGCCCAGTATAAATAAGTGGCAAAGTTGTTTAAATAAGTGACAGTTCTTAAAGTTTAAAGTGTGTGTGTGGAAAAATGGAAGCTGCAGGTCTTAAAATAGAGAAGCTGCGTGATAAGGATAACTGGCAGCAATGGCGTTTTATTATACGTACATTGTTGGAGGAGGACGATAATATGATTGATGTATGCGAAGGGACACTAGTCCATCCAGAGTTAGGTTCAGCAAATTATGAAGTGAAACTCAAGAATTTTTTGAAGGCAGACAGGGCTGCAAGGAAATTAATCGTCACAACAGTGGAGAAAAAACCGTTGGACTTGCTGTTAAGTTGTGCAACTGCAAGGGAAATGTGGAAAAAACTGAACGCCGTGTACGATATGAAATCGGAGGAAAATCTGTCCTTGGTGCAAAAACAGTTTTTCAACTTCAAATGGGATGAAAGTGAAAATGTTGCACACAATTTATCAAAAGTGGAGCAGTTGGCGTCGAAAATGAAGAATCTCGGGAGTGAGGTGCCAGATTCAATGCTCGTTACACGGATTTTAAGTACGTTGCCGAAAAGGTTCAATCATTTTCATAGTGCATGGGATTCTGTTGAAGAACGGAAGAAAAATCTTGAAAATCTAACAGCGAGATTGATGTCTGAGGAAATGAGAACAGAGGAAGAATCTGCTGAAGAAGAGAAGGTTGTTGCGTTGGTGACAAAAACAAAATTTGAAAATAAACCACTTAGGTTCAACGAAAATAAATTTGTGAATAAGAATGCAGATATCGTCTGTTATATTTGCGGAAAGAAAGGTCACAAGAAGCAAGATTGTGTTGGCTGCTTTACATGTGGTTCAAAAAACCATCTAAGCAGGAATTGTTTTAAAAGAAGAGAAAATGTCAGG